AACCCTAACCCTATCCCTCCAGTCTTCATAATAGTGAGAAATAAATATTTTTTGGTTAAACTTGTTTGGACTTATTGTACAAACCTATTTAACATCCACTATTTTAACATAATATTATGGATAGAGTTTAATTCAGTGTTTGTAGATAACTTTCACTATTTTAAATTAATGTCTATATTGCCATGAAGCAATTAGGATTTTCTTGCCTGGGATCTTTCTATTGGTGACCTAATCAAAACGTCCGATTACGATGTGGGCGGAGTTGGATATGTACTTGACTAATGGTAGCATGTTACTATTAGCCATTAGCCGCAGCTAGCAAGGCTAACGTCTTGTCAATGACCTTAAACAACGTAAATAAATACATAAAGAAATCAGAGAGAAGGGTGGGGGTATCGAAAATGAGTATCGTATCCGGATACATTTTAGTATCGATACTTTTTCGAGTATCGATACTTTTGACAAACCTAGAGCCTAGTGAGCAGGAAGTGCATGGATTAGTCTTTGGAGGTTTTCTAATGGGAAAAGGCTGCTGATGTTACTGATTTAATGTTGCTGGTAACGTTCAAGTCAAACCTACCACAAAGTATATTTTTGCGCTCTTTTTCTACAGCAGAGCAAAGCTAAGTGAACATCAACAGTGCTGCCATAACAGCCTACAGCTCACATTGTTTAACACATATTAGACTGATCCCAGCATAGAACATATATTAGACTGATCTCTGTCTAATATCTGTCTGAAAACCACTGGGAAGCGCTTAGGCTAACTATTTAAATCAAAATATCAACATGTCTGTAAGTAGCCTCTGAAGGCCGTTGTCCCCCCCCCACCCACATCGTCTCTGGCCATTACTAATGAGCTTTTCTGGATCATGTTTTTGTGTGGCTTCTGCCCTGCATGAGAGATTCAGGGAATGTTATGGTGAACTGTGATCACAGTGATTTCTGGAAATGTCCTCGCGCCCATGCAGTGATTTCCATGAAAAAATTACAGTTTTTTTTTTATATAGTTCTGCCTGCAGGCTAAAAGACCACAGGCATCCGCCATTGATTTTTAGCAGTGGAAGACTTTTAGTGGATGTTGTCTGATATTGAAGAACATTATTTTAGAAATGATTGTACTATTTTTGACATTTTTTTAATGCTTGCTGAGCATCTTCCCATCTGCATCAGTGTTCTCAATATTGTAGACATCATTTTTGAAAGGCAAATTATTCTGAATGATTATTCAGAACGACAGCCGTCAGCACTCCTGGGAGTGAGTGGACAACAAATGTCCTTAATTAAAGGCTGTCCACTGGACTGTTTTCAGCCTTTGATTAAATCTGTGAAACATGGATATCTGTGGATAGCCTTTATTTCTACACTTACTCTACCATTATCAAAGGTATTCAGGACATCCTGGTTCAATCTTAATTATTCATTAAATAAGTCCTCCAATTTGTAAGAGCAATATTATTTATGAGGGGAGCACATTGAAACACACTGGCTTATTTCTCAGCTTTTTAAGCAATATTATACATATTAGGATCAATGATTATACAGCGTGGGGGGGGGACCCAAACTGAGACTACACATACACAGATGCTTTAAAACAGTCCAACTAAGTTGTTCATCAGTTATCTTTTAACTTCCAAATTAAATTGTACTTGATGATCTGTAAATAATCTATGTTCTATTTTTTCTCATTTTACTTATAAACATGAAACACTATTATACTGTTAACACCTTATATTTGTAGGAGCATTTTCCTATTTTCGCATGTATTTGGGTCTAAAGGCACAAAAATAAATGGAACTTTAAGCGTATTCAGAATGTAAAACTCTTTCATATTACTTTTTTTTTTTAATTTGTAATTTTCATAGAAAGCGTAACCATAATATATATTTTTATACTTAACATATAAATTATAATTTGACTTACGGTACCCTTCAGTTTTAGAGCATAAAATCTGTAGATGAACATAAATCTGTCACATTGATTGATTTCATATTCCTTTTGCCCTGTAACACACAGCTTACTACAGGTTTTTTTTTTGGTAGAGAAAATGTTTAAATGTCATTGCTGGGATAGGCTCCGGTCCCATAAGCAGCATGGAGTAATCACTTCATACTTATATGGCTTATGTTTTAAAGTAAAACAAGTTAGGTGTGTCTTTGGGAGTTGGCATGTTAGCAATTGGTTTGCTTGCAGCTCTGTGATTTTGAGCTCCTGCCAATTAATGTTGACTAAAGTTATTAACTTGGCATTAACTATACGCATTTGTGTCATGTACTAAAACACAGTTTAAGAAATCTTTCATATTAAACAAACATTCCCAGTGGTAGTGTGTCTGTTTTCTAACCACTTACAAATTAGGTTTTAGTCAAATCTGCTGTGATGTTCTGGCCTGGAACCATAAAATGTTTTTCTTTCTCAAACTCATCAGATGTCTTTCATTCTTAAGTTGTCCCAGACTTGTTACACTATGAAGTAATACACTCAAACAAAGCTGATGATGAACAGAATCTGCTACTAATACATGCTTTGTCCTATCTTGTCCACTCAGCTTCACTTCGCTCATCCTAGTGTGCAGCTTACAGAAGTTTAGAAAAGCTTTATAGCACGGCTGCTGCAATGCAGTTCCAACAGCATCTGAAAGGGCATCTAAAAAGTATGAGGACTACATTTACTAGCTGGACAAACCTCGCAGAGGGCCAGAGCCATGTTAGCAAGTCTCTGCCCCTCCCTCCACTACTACGCTTGTTTTCAACATTCTTTTTCTGTGTCTGAGCTTTGGCTGGGGCTCATTATGTCATCTCACTAAGTCTATCTGTTCCACGATGATTACATGGTCTTTTATTAGCTCCTCTCTCAGAGTACGCACTTTGGATTACATACAAAATGGAAAGAAAACAACAGAGGGGATGGAAACAGGTTTTAAGAAGTATTTATGTGTCTGATTACAGTGCGCTGAATCTTTACCACATCACTGGGGGAAAAGGTACTAACTTATACCTGCCTTCTTTTTTAACAGGGAGTCACATTTAAAAATGACCAAACTAGTGTAAGGCAGATAGCTCACACAAAGCGATCATAGGTTTCTTAAAATATGCCAGACATACAACATTAAGAAAGAAGGAAGTCTGGTTGAGAATTTACACTAAATACTTTAATTTTATAGTAGCAAGATTAGATTAGAGCACAACTTAAACTTTAGCATTTGCATTGCTGGATTTCAGTCCACTGACTGACATTGTTGCCTTTATCTATTCATTTATCTATCTATTCATTTATTCATTTAACAAGACCCAGATCACTTATGAAGCTATTGTTTTTCTCTTGAAAAGCCCAAAAAACAATTACTAATTTAAAAAAATGTAGTCAGATTTTTGTGAATGAATGCATACATGTATCGGGTCTAATACTAAAGGTTATAATAGTAACTGTAACATACACTGAAGATGAAGTAAAATTAGTAACACATAGTGTTATCAGATTACAGCGTTATTTAGAAACAGTGTACAACAAGCATTTGGAAAAGGGAGCTAACTGATTACAGGTAGGGAATAAGCGGTAATGATAATGGATGGATGGATGGATGGATGGATGGATAAACAGAAACATAAAAGGAAAGATGCACCTGAGTGACCAATATACCCAAGAAGCATTTACTGTCCCTCTACAGCTTTTCCTGCGGTCAACGTAACATGACAATGTTGTTAAGCTATTTAGACAAATGAATGCTACAAACTGATATAACATATGTTACAGGTTATTAGTCATTTGTAATCATCTGCTAACTATCCAAAATTTAGAAGCCACTTTCTCATTAAAGCTTCTAGCAAGAATGATTTGTTTGCTGAATTATTATGAATGGAAAAAAGGAAGAAATAGAAAAGAGAAAACTTACATAGAGGTACACTGTACATCCAAACATAAATATTGTGCAGACAACAGGCTAAAAGCAGCCCATTTTAACAACATACAGCTTCATTCATTCAATGGACAGCTAATAAAAAAGTATTGATCTACGTTATCTATCTTATGCCATTATTGAATCAACACTCAGTTCATGCTACCACTCTTACGCCTAGTTACTACTGCCATTGCATCAATTTAAAAAAAATCTATCTTTTCAGTGGCATGATGTCATAATTACCTACAGCCCGTTCCTATGCCACAACAAGAATGTGCCCCATACACCCCATAAAATTTACAAGACAAGGATTCCATCTAACACATCTGAGAGAAACAGAGTGGACACAATGGCCTTCAAAACTTCTGTTTTAAAACTGGATGAGGATTGACAAGCTAAGAATAATGACAAAAAATCAGATGATGGTTTTGATCCACTCATTTAGTGTAAGCCTCTAAAACAGTCAGTAAATCCAAACTATGCTGCTTAGTCACAGGAGAAACAGCACATTTAACAGACATCATAACAGAGCTGATCGCCATCTAAACTAAATATTATATAGACCGGTAAATGTAATTTATTTTACTCAACTTATTTTGTGGAATGAAATTTGATCAGAATAAAGCAGCCTAACCTTATATGGGAGGATAAGTGTCTGGTGTAATAAGCTGAGCTACACTGAGAAAAGCCACCAAAACAAAGCTTATGTTGGGGAACACCTTCCAGGTTCTCTTGACCAGGGTCACACATAGGTGGTTGTGTGGTTATGTATACTGGAACATGACTGGAGTTCATGGCTCAACCAGCTCCTGCCTTTCATGAACAAAACAGTGACCAAATCCTGTAAGGCAGGCAACCAGGCAGCAGCAGAAAGGGTTAACGTTCAGGCGCGTAAATACTGTCCACTGCTCTTAGCGGTTCCCTCACTAAAGAGAAACAGTTTATTCTAATTATCTGTTGTTGCTAAAGCAAGCCAAGTGGCGCCGAAGAGCGCAAAATCCCCCTCATGCTACACTAAGTGCAAAAATAGCCACGTGTATCGACAATAAAAACAGAACAAGGCTAATTTCAGTTTTCCAGAGCGGGGATTCGGACGGGAACGTTACAGCACATGGACGGCGGGGGGAAAGTGATGGGTGCCAGCGGGCAGCACATCTGCCCGCTGGCAGCGAGACAGCGCAGCAATTAGCCTGCGCCCAAAGTAGAGCCCAACCGGCCTCACGAGTTTGAACAAAGTCATTTTTTCCTCCCTTGAGGAGCTCCGGACGCGGGCTATTGTCAGCCATAGCTGCTGCTGCCGCCTGCCCGGCCGGAAGGCTGTTACGGGGCTCAGCTCAAACTCGGGTCGTGATTTTCCAACAATGCGCTGGGAAGAAACGGCCGGGGGGGAAACCACGGGACGGGCTCAAACGTGACACCGTTAACGGTCCAATGTCGGCGGGCGGTTGGGGTTTGAAAACGGCGGGGAAGAGGGGGGAAACGACAAACAAATGAGCGGCGACTCTGCCGAGGCTTCCCCCGTTACCGTCCGCTCCTGACGGGGGGAAGGCAGGGTTTACTTTGGGGCTTTGAGAAGATGTTAAACAGCCATTAAAAGCTACCAGTAGACGAAGCCCCCGAAGAAAGCACTGGCTAACCACGATATTAGTTATCGAGAGAAAATGTTTAGTGTTATTCACGAAAAAATGTCACAACCCCGGTCTGCTATATTTAACTCCGCCTTCTTCTTCTCCGAGCGGCCTCTCTTCAGATGTAGACGGGCGACCGAGAGCCACAAAGCTGTCAAACGGAGCCGAGTCCTCGCCATTTTTGTTTGTTTCCCACAAACGCAAACCGCCCCAAAAACAGCCCGGCGAGCCACCCGGCCTTACCTGCCGTGGAACCAGTCCTTGCAGGCGTCGCATTCGATCATAAACTGGGTCACGTCGTAAGGTAATCTGCAGATGCAATACACTGGTACAGTCGCCATGTTCAATTCACCACTACGTCGGGATATAGACTGGGGGGGCTGCAGGAGGAACAGCGTCCTGCAAACAATATGATCCAATATGATCTTCCCCGGAAAAAAAAAAAGCCAGGGCCAGTGGCGCCGGACACATGAAGCTAAGCGCGCGGCTCCAGCACGCGCGGCCGGTCTGCGTCCACGCGGGGCGGGCGGGAGAGGCGAGGCGGCGGGCTCGTCTCAGCAGGTTTTCCTGAAAGGCACGAGCATTCTTCTTATTATTGTTATTACTCTGTGCGTGCCCCCTGGTGACTGCACAGAGCGGGGGGCCGCGGCTACAGTCCCCGCGAATACATCCAGAATACCGGGACAAGTTACGTCAGGGAGACGCTTTACATCCGATCAATGAGTTCCGAGATTGATCAAGAATAAAAAAAAATTAAAAAAAGGGATTTTGGATAAGATAGATAGATAGATAGATAGATAGATAGATAGATAGATAGATAGATAGATAGATAGATAGATAGATAGATAGATAGATAGATAGATTAGTTATTAAAACGGTATTATGATGTCATTATACCTGTATGCAACTAAATACTTTTAATAAAATGTCATTTTTAAAAACTTGTTTTGTATATCTCTACCTCTTTTTTTCCATTTTAGCATGGGAATTTAGGATTGTAATGATTTTTTTTTCCATAACGTGGTATAGTAGAATATTGGGTATATTTTAACAGATATATATTTTGATTCAGCATCGGAATATTTATTTACAAAATAGAATAATAAAGTAAAATTGATTAAATTGTTATTAACCATCCTTTTATGCAGATGGGATTATATTACTGAAGATGGCTTTATCTACCCAAAGAAGGGATTTACATTGCTCTGCTGAGTTTTTTCCTCAAAGTATCCATAATGATCTAAATCCCATACCTTTTGTCGATATTGTCACTGTCCCAATTTGCTCCATACAGTTGTGTACATTAACTATAATAAACTCTCAATAAAATGAAAAAATGATATGTTGAAGTCGTCATTGTGTACAGAAAATTTGAGAACTTGATTTTTCTCCCAAAATCCATCATAGACTTCTAGTAATACTGCAATATCCGTCTCAGTTTTAAGACTTTAATGAAATTCTCCAGGTGGTTCGGCATTATTTTATGTTGTGATTCATAGTTTTCAGCTGTAAAGGTGTCACTCTCCCAGATTACATTTTTTCCCTTTTTAACTGAGTTATAACATGGCTTTCTTCATAAAGTGGTGCTGGGATGTGCTGTTGTCAGTAGTGAGTCCTTTAGTCTGACATCAGTCTGTTAGTTGTTCTTGTACCGTCACTTTTATGAAGAAAATATATGATAGAGATTTGTATAAAGCACAAATTTTATACTTCACCTTGGAAAAGTGTAAGAGTGGCAATGCAACAATTATTTTTTTTACTTTAAAAAGAACATGATCTTCAAAGGATGAAGTTTGAATGTGTTAACATGAAAACTCAGACTTTTATCTTATCACACATGATGACCGTATAAAACAGAAAACCATAATAGAGTTAAAACTTTGCTTTGATGTAGATTTATATTAAAGTATAAATAAAGTATCCACTCTCTGTCTCAAGGGAAACAAACCCTTTAAAGCAGTATTTTCATCATTTAGCTTGCTTTACTTGCATGGATTCTTAATAAGCAGAAAGTCGGTTAGCAAGCCGGGAAAGATACAAATTTAATGCCTACACACTGCTCCGTTATTATGCAGGATCAATGAAAGAACCACCAACCGCTTGTACTAAAAGAATATAGTTTTATTAAGCATTGTAGCCAAGTTGCCTTCAATTACACCACACCACAATTCATCAACATTCAATCAAATCCATCAACGGTTCGTTCTTTTAAATCCCACAAGTTAGGAAGAATTTGTGGCTGACTTACATAAAGGTAACCTACTAACCCTTGCCTGGAGAAAAGGGGATCTGATCACTAATGAGAGATGAAAAGCTGTAGGAGAAGTTCAGGGCAAATATTAAATGAGGGTTCTGGTGGAGTTTTAGTACAAGAGTGAAAACGAAACTAAAAGAAATTCGATTACTGGAACTAAAGTCTTAATTGGAAAGGTGGAGCACACTGCTTTTAGCTACGAAAGGGGTATTTCCCATCAAAGCTTTTTTCTATTATTTTCTCAGATACGCAACTAACGCAGATAACAGCAAAAGAGAACAATATTATATGAATACACGATTCCAGAGTGGCTATATAACTTTTTGTTGTTTTTTAATTAAATGCAACAGAGGTCAATAAGACGAAAACAATTGAATCCTGTCACTAACTGTAACACCTTTCATGGGCTTTTAGTGATATTAACCATTTCGTTCACTGAAAATGGGCACAGTAGTTGGAAGGATGGAAGAAAAAAAGACAACATGCATTAAAATTACACACCTGTTAAACTGTGAATCATGCAGAGGATCTCAGTTGCAGCAGTAAAACCACAACTCTACGACTGATTCAGGAAACCCAGCGAAAAAGATACATATTTATATTTTTTTGTCTGCTTTTGAAATCTTACTTCCTGTTAAGTGACTGGAATTTTGTTAAGCTCATCTGAACTAATGGAAAGAGTAAATATGAAGTGAACTCAAAGTTGCGACTAAGGTGGCAGATTTTGAATTTTTTGTTTGCTTTTCATCCACCCGTCACTATGACAACAAGAAAACTCGCAACTGCTCAGAAGACAGTGCCTGGCACATAATACTGGAAGCCTATAAACCTAAACAAACTAAAATATTAAACAATTAAAGCCTTTTAAAGCTTTTAGAGTCTAATTTAAAAGGAAAAAAAAGTGTCATATTTGTCGAGACGTAGAAGTCTAGGTGGTTTGAAACCAGTGTGTCATATCGAGTTTAGCGAGAGGGATTTCAGTGAATTTCATCTCTCGTCAGTCTAAAATGAAAAAGAAAACATTGACTGTAGGCTTTTTGCAATTCCAGATAATTCCTAACCCTCTTACATCTTTCATCCTTCACCCTTTCTAGAAAAATAGGCTTACTCTTCTTTTTTGAGGACAGCAGCCTCCAGACCTTCATCTCTATGGCAGCTGCTGTCCACGTTTAGTGCATTTAAGTGAGGATTGGTATTGCACGTCTTGGAGTCACTGCTAAAGGCACTTTCAGGTTGGATGAGAACCCCGCGCTGGTCTTCCTCTGCGGTCAGCGGCCCCGGCTCTTTGTCCTCCACGCCGTTCTCGTTGGCGGAGCCCTCGCACGGGGGGGAGGGGGACCTCTGGTCTTCTGGTTTGGGCTTCTTTTTCTCTTTGACAGCGTCGTGTCCAGGGGTTTGAGCAGGCTTGTGAACAGGCTTGCTCTGGTTAAAGGAAAGACAACAAAAAAGAACAGGAAAAGACTAATTATTTATGGAGGCAAACCTGTAATAGTGGCTGTTCTTAAAACCATCTGAAACATGGAGGGAATTTGAGTCCTGGTAAAAACTAAAGAGACAGGAGAGTCATTTTGGGTATATTTGGGACCAACCAGCAGTTTTTAAAAGAGTACAGACACCTGTAATGTGTTACCTATTGCACTTCCTCACGAGAACTTTTAACCCTTTTAAAGCTTTGATCTACCTCTAAGTCGATGAATAAAGTACATTTTTTATTTATGTAACAGTATAGCATTAAACTCCTACATTCATGTAAAGGAAACGCCAGATAGTTGCTGGGTTTCCGTTTTGGAAATTGCATTGACGTGACCAGAAAAACAAGAAAGAAAAAAAAGCTGTTCATTGGAGGGATTTCTGCATGTTTCATAGACTTATGCAAAGAAGTCTGATTTTTCTTTATTTTTTCACTTTGTTCCACTTGTAAATGGAAACCCAGCTTAACTGCACAGACACATGTCTTTAAGTGACTGGGGGGGCGGGGGGGACTCACCATGTACGTGGCGGGGGTTCTGAGGCCACGAGGATGGTATTTTCCTCCTCTACCAAACGTCCGGATGACAGGTGTAGAAATCACACCTCTTGGACGACTGAACAAAACAGAGAGCTTTTTAGTGGATTCGTCCCAGGTAATACCAGTATAACAGACCTGTGTCTTATACAGAGAATAATAAATGGAGCCACAGCCTCACTGTCCAGTACAGTCCAGGCTTCAGTCACACATGTAAACGTCATCAAAATATAAAAAATAAAATATGCCCTGAATAAGTATAGACTATGTCTTTTTTGTTACATTTTTTTATTTAATTCACTGAAACTGCATTTCATAAAGCTAGATACTACAAAAAATAGGTTAAATGATAAAGCTAAAAAAAGCTAATTAAAATGACAAATAGGCTCATAAATAAGATGGGGAATTTATAGATCTCAGGTTGTCATATTAGAAAAAAAGGACCACAGACATTGATTGAACAAGAACGTAATGGTTAAAAATACAAAAATGGTCTTAAGAGATGGGAAAAATGTTAAATATTCTCTTTGATCCCTACACAAACCTCAACGAGGACTGAAGTCCAGAGCAGTTTGGCTAGGTGCTTTTCTTTCATTTCAGAGCTTTCTCACGGTTTTAAGCTGTCAGAAAATCTTAGTTCAAATTTTAGCCTTCACTCTTATTGTGGGTGATATCTTATCTGTCAATCAAAGGATTTCATTCATTCAGAAATAATTCATTTTAAGATTAAGCCGTGCTGTCTTACTTATGATTTACCTTAAAACCATGGTGGGAAAGTAATATTTGGTTGTACCAAACCTCCAGAGTAAGTTTTAAAAATGTTTACGCAATATAAAAATCATATTCAAGAATTTTTATTGCTCCATTTAGTGAAAACTTGTAGAATTATGTTGTCAATCTTTTGGGGCTGAAAGTGTGGCAGGGTGAAAAATGTCACATGGCAAACTGCTCATAAAACAAGATCTGATGATTGTGATTAAACTCAGTCTTTCCTAGAATAAGTTCTAATCTTCTTTCTTCTAATGGCCAATCTCATGCAAAATTACTAATTCATCCTGTTCCAACCAACATGAAAAATGTGAAAATGTTGTAGATTTGTATGCGTTATGATTTTTGACTAAATTAAATAAATATAGTAACAAACTAGATAAGCTAAATATTGGCTCAGTCTGCCATCTACAACACATGGAGTAGACACTAAAAGTAGAAATTTGCACAGATTAACTTTCATTTAGAAAAGAAGTTGATAGCTCTGTGTTCTGTGTTTGGTTTGGAATCCGGATAAATCTTTACCAGGGATTCAAACTGAAATGATTCCATTCTGAACCCCAGCTCGTCTTCTAGTCCCTCGGCCTGTTCTTACCCTCTGTTTGGTCCACCCACAGACACCACCTGAACAGGGAAGCATCCTCTTCCTCTGCTGCGACGGGTCCCGGCCCACTGGCCCACCACCGTGCCCGCAATCTCCAGCTTCCCTCCCTGCGTCGAAATCCCTGGAATTCCTAAAAAAAACCCAGAAGCACATGGCAGCATGTGAGTAGTGTTGTCACGATACTAACATTTTAAACTCGATACCGATACTCAGGAAAATACTCGATACTCGATACCATTTTCGATACCACAAGGATAAAAACAAAGACCCTAAAATGTAACTGAATTGTGTCTTTCATTTCAAACTGACCTGTTACTGATGTTATCGTGACTGGTGGCCCGCATTAATGACCCTA